CTCTCCTTGCAGCCCATGGTGGGACCTCCTGTCACACAATTGGGAGGCAGAAAGAAAACTGGAAAAATCACAAAAAAAAAAAAACAACAAACCCAAAACAAAATACAGCAACAAAGTAGGGAAGAAAAGCAAGGAGAGGGGGAGAAGGTGGAGTGTGGAGACCTCCTCCACCCTCAGCCTAGCCAAGGTGTTGGCTCTCTATGTAGGCGGGACATGAGTGCCAATGTCCCTGGGATGCTCTGCGCCTGGCAGAGGGCAGGGATGGCAAGGCTGGCGGGGGTTCTCCGCCCCATTTGCACATTTCACCAGCAGAAGTGGAGTGGGATGTTTCCAGGCTCCCTGGAAGGAGAGGAGAGCAAGTCACAAGGTGCCTTGGGAACAAGGGCAAGAAAGGGAATAACACTGGATACCACCTTCAACTCCCATCAGAGAGGAGAAGACTGAGAATGGCTTTTGGCCTTGAGCTGGGGGAATTACGCAGCATGGGAGGAGGCTGGACCTCTGTGAGATCCCGGGGGGTTTGCACACACACAGCATGGGGCTAGGAGAAGGCACATAGGCCTGAAGGCATCACACAGCCGAGCGTGGCAGGAGCCAGGCCAACCCTGGAGGACTGGAACCGTCCCTGGGTGTAACGTCCACCATGGCAGTGTGATTTGGCAGGGGCAGGTGTGAGGTGTCATCTCCCCACAATGCCGAGGTGTCCAGGGCCTCTGAGGATGCGGAGCCATTTCTTGGTGTCCCTGCACCCTCTGTGTGCCTCTGCTAGATGAGAATTCGGAACAGAAAGGAGACGGCAGCTCCTAGGGCCAAGCCCAGTGTCAGGAAAAAGGCCATGACGGCTCCAGCTGTCTCTGCTTCGTGGGCAAGCACTTTCCTAGAGGAGAAACATGTGTCAAACACATCCTCAGGGATGCGTGCCCCATGAGGTCAATGGAGAGATGGGAGGGGGCCACAGAAGAGCCAGAAGCTGTGCTCCTCTGCAGCAGAGGAACAGCAAGAGCAAATCCACCTTGGCTCCAAGAGACCACCTTCACATTACAGGCTCGCAAGGAGAGGACAAGTGCATCAGGCAGGTTGCTCTGAAGCTCTGGGCACCAAAGACAGCCCTCCCTGAGTCCTGCCCCCATGCACCACGGCCGGCCTGGCTGAGCCCCATCTGGGTGCTCCTGCGCCGGGCAAGGCCACTCACCCGCTCCCCTCCAGATCCCTGCTGCCTTCCCCCCTCCTCCCCAGCGTGGCAACCTGGGGCATCAGAGAGCCCAAGCAATGCCTTCCTCATCCCTAGGACATGGAGGCACGAGGCTGGGACACGGGACACTGGGGTTATCTCCCCTGAGGTGGTGTAGCCGCTTCTCTCTGTGCCTGCACCCCCTGCTCCAGATGCCAGAGCTGAGCAGAGCCAGGTGACACTGGGGGTGTAACCAACCCTAGCCCTGTCCCCAGCTCTTACTCACTTGGGCCCGAAGCACATGCAAAGGCTGGCCAGGTAGCCATTGGAGATGGAGAAGAAGATCATGAAGACGATGTACCAGGCGTCATGAGAGAATACGACAGACAGGTAGTTACGGGGCTGCACGTTGCACAGCATGAAAAGAGGGATAAAGATGACACGGAGAGCCACCAACACTGGCAGGAGACAGCTGTCCTTCCCGGGCTGGGGGAAAAACACAGGTCACTGAGCAGCTGAGAAATGGACCTTGCCCATCCCGTGGCATGCCGGCAGGGGCTGCACAGAGGCTGTCCCTAACTCCACCACGGCTGCGGAGGAGCCACAGAGGTGGCAAAGTTGCTGAGAGGCTTCCTCTGCTGCAACAAATTTCAGCACCACCACCTGCTGTAGTAAGAAGGTCCTACTACATCTTAAAGTCCTATCCCAGCTGACTTGGAGAGCAGCAACACTAAAGCCAAAATACTGAGCTGGGCTTGTGTGTGACCGCTACACGCTTGCTGGAAACAACAGGCAGGCAGGAGAGCCTTGTGCAACGCTCACCAATCTCCTCCTGCAGCAAACCACCGTGCAGGACAAGGCTGGCTGAGGTAAATCCCCTCCGGCACCTCCGAGCCTGCACACTGGGCTTTAACTGGCTCTTCAGCCTCCTACGCCATCCTCCAGCCAAGCAGGGCAAGATCCAGCAATCTGGGAAAGGGATTATGCTGTTACAAACAGTGCTGGGAAAGGCAGGGGCTGGGTTACAGACTCCTTGGATCCTAGCAGACTCCTGGGATGTGAGGCTGGGATGAAGAGGAAGGCACTGTCCCTCTGTGTTGTCCCTGTGGCTAAGACTGAGGCAGCCCCAGGTATGGGGTGTGCCTGGCTCCCAGCGGGCCCTTGGTGAGGTGCCAGGGTGGCAGATGACAGGCTCACTGATCCACTGGGGTCAGGAAAGACCCACAGCTGCCTTGGGAGCTGCTGGGCTGGTGCAGCCATGGGACACTTCATTAGCACGGTGGGAAGCTGGGGTTAGGCCGGCTGCCGTGTCTGTGGGCAAACTGGCAAGGGCAGCAGCCTCTCCTGCTTGAGGAGGAGAAAAGGAGTAAGCGGGCCCCCAACCAGGGAAAAGAGGCCCAAACCACAGGCCGTCAGACTTTCCACACATCTTTGTTTTGGAAATGTCTCCTGCTGGGTAATCCCACCCCAGAGGCTGCAGCCCGGACACCAGGCAACACGGCTCATGGCCAAGGCCAAGGGCAGCCAGCAGTGATGGCCAGGGGAGAAGCGGCTCCAGGCCGAATCGCCTCCAGGCCTCCTGGAAGCCAGGCTGGGACAGACCCCACGGCGCACGGGGCCGAGGAGCTTCTCTAAACAAACAGCCTGAAAAACACGGGGAAATGGCGCCTGGGGGCTGGGTGAAGGGCAGGGAGAGACACAGACATGACAGCCCCCTTCCTCAACCACCCCCCAGCACAGCTCCCATTGCTCAGCCCCAGCAGCTCTGAGCCAGGTAGGGGAGAATGGCACAAGTGGATGGCCCTGTGACCTGCACGGCATGGCTCTGCCCTGCTCCCAGGACAGGGCTCTCTAAAGCAGCTATGTCCTGTGTGGAGGCCAGAGGTTTTATTTTGGGCTGCCCTGTCTTTCAC